GGTCTTAATTTCATTTAGGTCTGCTCTGATCTTTTTTATTTCTTTTCTTCTTTTGGGTTTGAGTTGTTCTTGTTTCTCCAGTTCTGTGAGGTGTGACCTTAGATTGCCTATTTGTGCTCTTCTAGACTTTTTGATGTAGGCATTTAAAGCTACGAACTTTCCTCTTAGCACTGCTTTTGCCATATCCCAGAGGTTTTGATAGGTTGTGTCATTATTATCATTCAGTTCAAATAATTTTTAAATTTTCATTTTGATTTCATTGTTGACCCAAAAATCATTCAGGAACAGGTTAATTTCCATGTATTTGCATTGTTTTGAGGGCTGTTTTTGGAGTTGACTTTCAATTTTATTCCACTGTGGTCTGAGAGAGTACTTGATGTAATTTCAATTTTCTTAAATTTACTGAGACTTGTTTGGTGGCCTATCATATGGTCTACCTTGGAGAAGTGTTCCGTATGCTGGTAAATAAAAGGTATATTCTGCAGTTTTTGGGTAGAATGTTCTGTACAAATATCTGTTATGTCCATTTGTTGTAGGGTAGCTTTTAAGTTCATTACTTCTTTTTTGACTTTCTGTCTTGATGACCTGTCTAGTGCTGTCAGTGGAGTTTTAAAGTGCCCCACTATTATTGTGTTTCTGTCCTTTTTGTTGATGTTGATTCTATTGCTTTCTGTTGGTTAGTGTTTGTTCTAACAGACTTCTCTTCTGTAGTTCTGCTGGAGTTTGCTGAAGGTCCACTCCAGACCCTGCTTGCCTGGGTATCACCAGTGGAAGCTGCTAATCAGCAAAGATTACTGCCTGTTCCTTCCTCTGGAAGCTTCATCTCAGAGGGCTCTCACCAGATGCCAGCTGGAGCTCTCCTGTGTGAGGTGTCTGTCAACCCCTGCTGAGAGTTGTCTCCCAGTCAGGGATCCACTTGAGGAGGCAGTCTCTCCCATAGCAGAGCTCGAGCACTATGCTGGGAGATTAGTTGCTCTGTTCAGAGCCGACAGGCAGGAATATGTAAGTCTGCTGAAGCTGCACCCACAGCCGTTCCTTCCCTCATGTTTTCTGTCCCAGGGAGATGGCAGTTTTATCTATAAGCCCTTGACTGGGGATTCTGCCTTTCTTTCAGAGATGCCCTGCCCAGAGAGCAAGAATCTAGAGAGGCAGTCTGGCTACAGCAGTTTTGGCGAGCTGCAGTGGGCTTCAACCAGTTTGATCTTCCTAGCAGCTTTGTTTACACTGTGAGGAGAAAACCTCCTATTCAAGCCTCAGTAATGGTGGACGCCCTTCACCCCACCAAATTCAAGTGTCCCAGGTTGACCTCAGACTGCTGTGCTGGCAGCAAGAATTTCAAGTCAGTGGATATTAGCTCATTGGGCTTTGTGAAGGTGGAATCCACTGAACAAGACCACTAAGCTCCCTGGCTTCAGTCACCTTTTCATGGGAGTGAATGGTTCTGTCTCTCTGGTGTTCCAGGTGCCACTGGGGCATGAAAAAAACTCCTGCAACTAGGTTGGTGTCTGCCCAAATGGCCACCCAGTTTTGTGCTTGAAACCCAGGACCTCGGTTGTGTAGGCACCCAAGGGAATCTTCTGGTCTGTGGGTTGCGAAGTGTAGTATTGGGCAGGATAGCATCATCCTTCACAGCCCAGTCCCTCAAGGCTTCTTTTGGGTAGGGGAGGGAGTTTTCCCAAACCAGTGCACTTCCTGGGTGAGGCGATGCCCCGCCCTGCTTCTGCTTGCCCTCTGTGGGCTGCACCCACTGCTAATCAGTCCCAGTGAGATGAACCAGGTACCTAGGTTGGAAGTGGAAAAATCGCCTCCCTTCTGCCTTGGTCTCGCTGGAAGCTGCAGACCGGGGCTGTTTCTATTTGGCCATCTTGCTCCCTTCCTGATAGGTTTCTTTTATGGGTTATCTGATCTTTCATCTCACAGCTTTAATATTCTTTCCTTCATCTTGACTCTAGCTATCCTGATAATTATGTGTTTCGATGGTGATCTTTTGTGATGAATTTCCCAGTATTCTTTGAGTTTCTTGTATTTGTATGTTTAGATCTCTAGCAAGGCCAGGGAAGTTTTGCTTGATTATTCCCTCAAATATATTTTCCAAAGTTTTAGATTTCTCCTTTTCCTTGGGAACACCAATTATTCTTAGGTTTTGACATTTAGTCCAAACTTCTTGCAGGCTTCATGTATTTTTTTAAATTATTTTTTGTTTTTGATGGATTGGGTTAATTTAAAAACCTTTGTCTTTGAGCTCTAAAGTTTTTTATTCTGCTTTTTCAATTCTATTGCTGAGACTTTCCAGTGCATTTTGCATTTATCTTCTTTTTTCTTTTCTTTTTTTTTTTTTTTTGAGATGGAGTTTCACTCTTGTTACCCAGGCTGGAGTGCAATGGCACAATCTCAGCTCACCGCAACCTCCGCCTCCTGGGTTCAAGCAATTCTCCTGCCTCAGCCTCCCGAGTAGCTGGGACTACAGGCACGTGCCACCATGGCCAGTTAATTTTTGTATTTTTTAGTAGAGACAGGGTTTCACCATGTTGACCAGGATGGTCTTGATCTCTTGACCTCGTGATCCACCTGCCTCAGCCTCCCAAAGTGCTGGGATTATAGGCATGATCCACCACGCCCAGCCATATTTATCTAAATGTGTCCTTGATTTCCAGAAGTTGTGAATATTTTTTTTGTTTATGCTATTTCACTGAAGAATTTTCCTTTCATGTTCTGTATCATGTTTTTGATTTCTTTAAGTTGGACTTCACCTTTCTCTGGTGACTCCTAGATTAGCTTAAAATTGACCTTCTGATTTCTTTTTCTGGCAATTCAGAAATTTGGTCTTGGTTTGGATCCATTGCTGGTGAGCTTATGTGATCTTTTGTAGGTGTTAAAGAACCTTGTTTTGTCATATTACTAGAACTGTTTTTCTGGGTAGATATGTCAGAGAGAAGACTTGGAACTCAGGGGCTGCTGTTCAGATATTTTTGTCTCATAGGTTTCTCCCTTGTTGTGATGTTCTCCTCCCCCACCCAGGAATGGGGCTTCCTGAGAGCCAAACAGTAGTGATTAGTTTTGCTCTTCTGGATCACGCCACCCAGTGGAGCTACCAGGCACCAGGCTGGTACTGGAGAGTGTCTGCAAAGAGTCCTGTGGTGTGATCCGTCTTCAGATCTTGTGACCATGGATACCAGCACCTGCTCCAGTGGGGGCAGCAGGGGAGTGGTGCAGACTCTGCCAGGGTGCTTGGTTGTATTTCTGTTTACTGCGCTGGTTTTATGTTGGCGGTCCTGCAGCCAGAAGGTGGCGCTTTCAAGAGCACAGCAGCTGCAGTCCTGTAGGGAGGATGCACACTTGCCCTAGGGACACCCGGTTAAGTATTCAGGATTCTCACGTGGTGGGCAGGGCAGGGCCTTAGAGCTTCCTAGAGATTATGACCTTTTTCTTCAGCTACCAGGGTGGGTAGAGAAAGACCACCAGGTGGAAGGAGGGACAGGCATGTCTGAGCTCAGCCTCTCCTTGGGCATGGCTTGCTGTGGCTGCTGTGGGGGATGAGGGTGTGGTTCCTAGTCCAGTGGAGTTATATTCCCAGAGGGATTATGGCTGCCTCTGCTGAGTCTTACAGGTTGCTGGAGAAGTAGGGGAAAGCTGGCAGTCACTGGCTTTACCTCACTCTTATGCAGCTGGCAGTCCTAATGGCCAGTCTCACTCCCACTGTTCCCTGCCAACAGCACCGCATCTATTTCCAGGCAGTCAGCGGCCAGGGCTGAGACCTTGTCCCTGACTGTGAACCTCTCTCTTGAGAAAGCAAGCAGACTCACAGGTTTTTGGCATCTCAGGGAGCCTGCGGCAGTGATCCAGTCTCTTCAAAGGGTCTGTGCATTCTCTTCGCTTTCCTAGTATGTTCCTTTGGTAGTTCTTAGGAGCAAAAGTTCACAATGCGAGTCTCTACATTCTGCCCTGTTTGTCTGATTGGAAGCTGCAAGCTAGTCCTGCCGCCAATCCACCAACTTCCCAGGGGAGCCTATCTATTTTTACATTGACTGAAGGCGAGCAGCATGACATAGTCAACTTGGCCAGTGTTCAGGAATGGGCACGTGACTGTGCACTGGGCCATTGTGGCACAAGGATATTTCTTCTGGTTCCCGGGAAAAGAGTTCCTGGAGGGATGTTCTCCTTCTATTGTATGTGAACTAGAAAACACACAGCATTGAGAGGCCTCTGGCCCCACGGGACCAGGAGGAAAGGCGGTCTTAGACACAGCGTGAGGAGAGAGCTGGTTGGCTGCATCAGGCTTTGCCTGGACTTGCTATGGGACTTAAATTTCACGTTATAAGCCAGTTTGCGTTTAGTTTTCTGTTACTGAAAACAGCTGAAAGATTGCTAACTGATTAAAACATTGACCTTAAACTAACTCTACCACATTTAATGGAGAAACAGAGACATTTTCATTAAGGTCAGAAATAAGAAAAAATTGCTGTGGTTCTTTCTATAACTGAATATTGTTCTGTATGTTCCAGCCTTAGCTAGAACTCACATCGCGAACTCAGCCTTAGCTAGAACATAGAAAAGCATAATTTTTGGAAATAAAGCCTTACAGATGATATTGTCATTATTTACAAATCATGCAATTTTCTGTTTGACAAATAATCAGCTGAAAACTATAAGAGAGTCAAGAATGTGGCTAGAAATAAAATATAGGGAAAAAAATCTATAATTTTTCTGTATACCAGTAATAATCGGTTATAAAATATGATGAAAAATGAGGTCATTCATAATTAAAATAAATAATATATAGGATCCATGTCTTAAAATAACAGCATTTGACAAAGGGTAAACATTTCAGAAACACATTTAAATAATCCACAGTGTAAGGGGGAGTGCTGGTCCCCTCAGAACACTAATATCAATAGTAACAAAAATGATATTATTATTATTTTTGAAACTCTGTAAGGAAATGAATACTAAATGCTGTAACAGCCTAAAATCTCTTTCTCTCCTTGCCTTTATTTGTCAAGAAATTTATACCATGGAAATTACTAGAGATCTCTTCAAAGACTTATTTCCAAGGATATGGACTGAAGTATTTTTTATAAATCCGGGAAATAATTGAAATGTAGCACAAAATGGATCAGGTAAATAAATTTTGTTCTATTCATGCACAATGGAGTAGTTTGCAGTTATTGAAAAGATGCTTGTTACAAGGATATTTGTTGGTTTGGAAGGACTTATGTAATATGATAAATGAAAAAGCAGTTTTCTCAGTGGTAGGTACAGAGTGACCTCGTTTTAAAGCAGACGTGGTGTGACAATGGGCAGGTTTGGGAGAAAGACCAGACTAGGTGTCCTAGGGGGTGTCAGCTGGCATAGAGGCCATGTGTCTGCAATGTGAGTCTTCGGAAGGTGGCAGCCCTGAGAGAAAGTACATAGAGACAGAACCAGGGAAAAGGAAAGCTACATGTATATGCATAATTCTCCCCTATGGCTCCACATGTCTGTAGTGAAACACACTTCCCAAGGTTGGATTTCTTGTGGAAGGTGCATGGGACTGAGTTTTGCACTATCACTATGGACAGAGGAGCGTGTTAGTTATTTATTGCTGTGTAAAAAATTATCCCCAAAGTTAGTAGATATTATTTCACATTATTTATGATCTCACACAGTTTCTGAGGGTTAGGAGTCTGGGATTGACTTAGCTGGATGGTGTTGGTTCAGGTATCACATGTCAGGCTTGACTGGGGTAGGAGGGCCTGCTTCCAAGTGACTTTCATTCCTCACCACGTGGGTCTCTCCACTGGGCTGCTCACAGCATGATGTCCACCACAGGAAAGAATCAGAGAGAGAGGGAGAGGGATTGAGTACCCAGGACAAAAGTCACAGTCTTTACAAGCTACTTTCAGAAGTGACATACCGTTCCTCTGCAATACACTGCTAGATGCATAGATTAACACTGACACAATGTGGGCGGGCACTGTACAAGGGTGTGAATGCTGGGACGCCATTAGAGGACATCTTGGAGATGTGGGAAGAGAAGAGAGAGTGGAGTTAGGGCGGAGGGTGAGCCCTGATGACACAGGAGCAGACAGTGGGGCAATCACAGGTAATATGTTGGATTCATCAAGCAGTAAAATAAGACTTTGAAGCCAAGTTTATCGACATCTCCAAGGGTCTTATAGGCTTAAGTTGCCATATGGAGTATGCACAGGATCGGACTGAAAGCTTTTGCTGTCTGTTAGGGAAAAGTTGGGGGATCGAACAGAACCTGCTTGGGAACGGTGCCGTTCAACACAAATAGCCCAAGCAGAGGGACTTGCCGTTAACATGAAGGGTCTTTACAGTGAAACGCAGGCCTGGAGGAAAGACAGCTGCAGCTTTTGTATGAAAAAGTCCACAGATATTATTAATTTACAAGTGGAAGGGGCCAAGTTATGCTATAGGAGGAACATGTGTAAATGTAGCTGTCAATACCCAAGCCCTGCTAGCAAGTTCTCAAACGAGCAAATAATTCTGCTTTTGCCAGTTAAGGTGCGCTCATTTCAGGTAGAGAAACACTGAATCAAATTCAGGGACAGTGGTTTCCTCCCACCTTTTCCTCCCACCCCAGTGAACCCACACACAGAATCAGAGCTACCCCGCATTCCTGCGAAAAAGCAGAAGACTCCTTTGCTATCCAGCTGAAGCTCGAAGCAGCAAAGTCTGTAGGTACAAGAGGAGAGGGGTGGGACTTTACTGCCCTCTGGAGAGGGGTCCTTGGTAAAAGGGACCCAACAGCAGGTGGAGGAGGTCTTGAGGGAGGTCTGTGAGAAGAGCACAAGGAAAGTTGGAGGACAGAGTTAGGAAGTCAGGGTGTGCCCTCGTGGGACTTTTTCCGGAGGCCTTTTTGTGACACAGGAGTCCAGATAGCTAGGTTGCTGAGTAAAGGTGTGTCTCCTCATCTGCCTCCCTGCAAAAAGGAAACGTAGATTTCTATCAAAATTCTGTGCTTGGTTTGTGGCAGACAGAAGAGGTTGTGCTAGGGAGAAGACAGCCCGAATGTTGGTAACCTGATAGGCCGTAACCATCCTCTGTGAGTGCCTAGGTGAAGGACAGCCAACCGTGGACAACTCACAGTCCAAGCTGCACAGAGCTGCTTCCTCTGACCTGTACTTGAACCCTCCACACCCACCACCTCCTGCAAAGCACAAGGGGATAGTAAAGAATCCTAAGGCTCTGTTCCTGTATACACACATACACCAGGTGCACACAGGATAGACACTCATGTGCACTCAGATATGCAGAGACATGTGGTATACATGACAACATAGGAGTCGTTTAATTTTATATGACTCACATAAAATCCAGCCCCTTTAATGGCTCAGTCTCAGTGCTGTGTCACATTCAAAGAAACACAGTCTAGTAAGCAAAGGTGATTAAATAGCACATGCTATTATAATCTTTGCAAATATCTTCCAAAGAACATTAAAGGGGACATAATTCTTAGCTCAGAGGAATTTTAAAAAATCTCCTGTGCTCCCCTTTTGCTGCTTCATGTCCCGCAACTGCTTTCCAACCTCCTGATTCTGTGTCATGCCAGTCCTCTGCTCTTACCTTTTCTTTCTCTTTCTTTCCTCCCAATCCTCCAGGACTGTTTCTCATAATTCTTCTTCCAGATCTCCAGGGATCAAGGAAAGGAGAGGTCACATCTGCTTGTGGACAATGAGGAAATTGCCTCTGGAAAGGCTGGCATTGGAGATGCCCTTCGACGAATCAGCGATAGAGAAAAGAGGGAGGACAGAAGGAGAGAGAAGAGATGGAGAGCTGTAAGTCACCTTAGAATCCCAGACTCACGAGCTCCTGGGCTAGAAGGGCCGTTAGGGCCGGGCATCGCCATGGTGCAGTTTAACAAAGCTGCAAAGATGCCTGATGCGGTCGGTCCATACCCTCTAGTAGCTCATGCAATGCGACATTGACTGCAGTGGAGTGAGGGCAGTCTAGAGGTTTGCACTGGGAGATTTCAGGAGACAGAAAAAGGGTCGGTGGGAGTTAAAGAAGGCTGCCCGGGAGAGGGTGAGGCCACAGGTAAGCTGGAGGTATGACATTACTGAGGGAACCCAGGGCTGACAGGCTTTTCTGGGCAGAGGGAATGATCTGAGGAAAGGTAGGAAAAAGGGGGTGGTTAAGGAATGTATTGTTTGAGCATAAAATATGAAGAAAGGAGTGATGGAAGATAGGCCTAGAGAAACTTTATACGGAAAGTCTTGCTGGTCATGCTAGGGAGTTCAGAATGTGTCCTGAAGGGAATCTCAGGGGGGTTCAGCAAAGAAAGACCCAGGTAGACTTGCCCTGTCCACACAGTTACCCAGAGACACGTGGGAGTTCACTGAGCCCCGGGAGAGGAGGAGAGAAATGCAGGACAAAAACAAGAGGAAATTTGGGAGGCGGAGAGTTAGTCAGGGCTTGGCCATAGCAGGTGAGAAGGCAGGAAAAGCAAGGTGATTCTCAGGTTTGTAGTCGGGAGACAAGCAGACGGTGGGGTCTGCAATGCAGGCAGGAAATAGGATTAGACTGAGGTGTGTAGGGAACATGTGTTTGGCATTGGGCAGATTGACCGAGGGTCTGGGCAGCATCCACGTGCAAGTCCACAGGGCAGGAGTGTGTAGAATGGGGAGGGGGTGTAGAATGGAAACAGGGCCCTGGGACACCCGGAGTCTTGGGGTGAGTGGTGGGAGAGGCACCTGCTGTGGGGCCTAGGCGAGGGACAGTGGGTGGAGCCCTGGACCAGGGAAGGACAGCGAACAAGGGACAAGAGAAGTGTGTGGAGGAGCTTCAGTGCCAAACCACAGGGGACTGTCGATCTGGCCACAGTGGGAGGATGGCTGGAGGGAAATGGTGTGGGATGGCTGTTGTGGTCTGAACACAGGGACTAGAGAAGGGCCCCAGGTGGACACCATTTGAGGTAGGGGCCCACAATTCTAGAACCACAGTGTCTTGGTTCAGTTCCTAGCTCTGCCACTTGATGGCTGTGTGACCTTGGGCAAATCACTTAACTTTTCTGTGCCTCAGTTTCCTCATCTGCGAAAGGAATATATACCTCAAGGGCTGTAATGAGGAAACAGTGAACTGACAAATATCAGTTATGACTTGATACATGGTAAGTATTGTGTCAAAAGTGCTATTATTATGTTACATATGGTATTTTATTGTAGAGTGTATGTATAGTATCTAAATATATGTTACATATATATAGTACATATACTACAGTGTGTATATATATTAGTCAGTTTGAACTGCTATAACGAAACATGATAGACTGGTAGGCTTAAACAACAGACATTTATGTCTCACAGAACAGGGCAGTCCAAGACCAAGGTATGGACAGCACGGGTGTCTGGTGAGGGCTTGATGCCTAGTGTGCACACAGCTACCTTCTTCTTACTTGGCAGAGACAGAGAGCGAGCGAGAGAGAGAGAGACAGGAAGAGAGAGAGAGAAAGAGAGAGAGAGAGATCTTTGTCTCTTATCCCACCATGAGGGCTCTACCCTCATGACATAATTGCCTCCAAAGTCTTGCTTTCTAATACCATCACACTGGAGGTTAGGATTTCCACATTATGAATTTTGGAGGAGACATAAACATTCAGTCTATAACATACAATATGTGCTGTCTACTTCTATTATATATGTTACATATGCTATTATTATAGTAAATACTACAAACATATATTAGTATATTAACAGATATTTGTAATCTTTATATTTAAATATGTGATATATGGTTTAAAATAATATATGATCTGTATATAGTAAATAATATATATAATATAGTAGTCATATGTATTATCTATAAAACACCATATGATTGCATGTACTACATGTGTACATTCTGTATATATGATTACTATAATTAATCTGTAGTGTAGATTCTGTATATATGATTACTGTAAAAGCAATTATTATCGTTATCTTTATTATTAGAATCCATTCTGTGCCACTGATGCTGAGGTTAATAGAGAGGTAGTGAGAATAACATAGAACTTCTGAGTCTTGATACTAGGACTAGAAATAGATCTGACTGTGTGTGTTTGTGTGTCTGCGTGCTCACACACATGTGCACATTGGTAGGTAATAAATCTGGCTTTGAGCACAAAATCACAGAAAGAACTGATAGGAATACTGCAGGCCATCCAATTGCTCATTTTGTTGATGAGGAAAGTGATGTCAGTGCTTCATCGAGCAACCTAAGGTCCCATTATTGCTGGCAGTTCTCCTGTCTCCTCCCTTCTTGAATTTCGGCTTAATCCAGTGACGATGGTTAGCAAAGAGATGAGGGAGTGGTCGTGGGGAGGCTCCTTCACTGGCAGATTCGGCTATCCTTCCTTTACTAGAGTCTAGCGCCGTGCTTTTCTCCTGCCCTTCCCTGCTTCTCTCTGCTTTCACTTCCCACCTTGACATTTAAAGCCTCTGTTCTCTGAGTGACAGTGATGCTAATGTTTGTCTTTTGCAGGGCTCCTTTTGATGCTAGGCTCAGAGAACATTCAAGATAGTAACAGATTGATGCTGCTTCTGAAACCCAATTTAAAGCAAGAAGGAGTGGGTGCCTGTTTTATCCTGAAGCTGGAACCAGGTGAGTCACCGTATTCCCTGTGGTCAATTTCCTGGGAGATTATCATCTTGAGGAGGACAGATGAATTACCTTCCAAGGAGGCATCCAAGATTCAGGGCTGTTTTTTCCAGCGCCACCGAGTCCCAGGGATCGTTTGAGTTCTCCATTGAAGACCCTTATTGAGGAGCAAAACTTTTTCTCTGTGGATTTCCCACATCATCTTGGCTTGAGAGAAAATATAGTAGTTTTAGGCAGTTTGTGATTCCAGAGGTGTCGTGAAAGACATTTCCAAATACATTTTGGGATGTTGCTGGATAAATCTAACTCCTGCCTTCGCTTTGACCCCACCCCAGGATCACTGGGAGGCAAGGCTGTACTGCGGCTGTGTGTCTTCACAGCATCTCAACCTCCTCTCCCACATCTAGTTCTTCACCAGTATCCAAGGCTTCCATGCTGTCTGGTGTGGCCTGAGGACCGGTGTGACCACACCCCCTGTCCTCCCCAAGCATGCCCCTGCCGTGTCCTGTCCATCCTCTGCCCCTGATTGGCACTGACCCCTTCTACCTCAGCCTCAGTGCAAGGACATTGAGCCAGGAGCAGCAGATGGGGAAGCCAATGTGAGGATGGGGATAATGAGGCCTGGTATGGTCTTTTGTCCAGCAGCTCTCCCCTGGGTGACCACCCTGAAGTGGACGTCATTTCTGATCTAGGTGGAAGAGTAAGACATAAAGGACAACTGGAGTGAGGGGGCAGGAGGCTGTCCCCGCCAGACAGTGGTGTTTGTAGCAGAAGCTCTTCTCTATAAGGGGAAGGTGGACGCACCAGGATCTTGACTGTATTTTCCAGCTGAGTCTTCCTGATTCGGACACGTCTTAAAACTTTAGACTTTTTAGAGCATTGGTTTGGCGTGATGGAGCCCACGTGTAATTTACATAAAAGTAATAAATGGTTCATTGAAACTACAGTTACACACAATGTAACACTGAGTTTTAAAAAGTCCCAGAAAATGATATACCCTGTGAAATACTTTTTATAAAAGCAACTAAAGTGAAACAACATTTTCTTTAAAAAAAATATATGTTTTAAGACTATATGCAAACTAAAAAGGAAAATGTTAACCCAGGTGTGGGGGTGTGGCCTGTAGTCCCAGCTACTTGGGAGGCTGAGGCAGGAGGATGATTCAGTTTGAGGCTAGCCTGGGCAACACAGCAACAGCTTGTCTTTTTTTAAAAAAAAGGAAGAAAGAAAAGAGAGGAAAAAAAGGAAATGTTAAACCTTTGGTTAAGTTAGTTTTGGAGAGGCGGGGAGAGTGTGGAAGAGTCGTATATGTGTAGATATAAATTATTCCTAGCATTTTAGGTTTTGTGCTCATAATGTATTCACAGATATTTATTATATTAGATTATTAAAATAATATAAATTATTGTAACACAAATGAAATTGTATGGGCCAATTACAAAAATGAGTTATTGATCTAGTTAGCATTTATTCATATGCCCAGTAGTGTTCTAAGCAGTTGATATATACCATCGACTCACTGAATCCTCAAAACAGTCCTATAAGGTGGGATTATTGTTATTTCTACTTTCATGAGGAAATGGAGGCCCAGAGAGGTCAAGCGCAATACCACACAGCTGAGTGGGAATTCTAACCTAGGCTGCACATCTCCAGAGTTCTGCTCTCTTAACCACAAGGGTTGTGAATGATGTACTTCTGTGAACCCAAGGTTCATAAAGAAAGAGGAACAAGTTACCTGAAGAAACTGGCTACCTAAGAAACAAGAATCAGGTAGAGTGTGCAGGGAAGGAGGGGTGTGTGGCCTTAGTCTGGGAGAAAAGCAGGTGGTTTAGTCTAGGCTGTGTCGGTTGGTTACCCTCTTCCCTTCCAGGCAAAATACTCGAAACTTAGCAAGACCTTACTGTGTTGATTCTAATAGTGGGGATTTTGGGGGACACGGCAGACTGATGAGAGACCATCTATTGACTGTGTGAGTCTTCGAGCTCTCTTCGTATCATATTGGTGATCTGGCTGCTGGCTACATGGAGTTACTGCCCCTTTTTGTTTTGCCTCAAGAGTTATCATCTATTAAGCAAATACTGACTTCTTAAATTAAATTGCAATGTCTCTTGCAACAGGAGTCACTATTTGTTTGATAGCTTATCTGGTGACTAAGTACAGTGAGGTGGCTAGTCTGTCCTTCAACAAGACCTAGCACGGAAGTCTCCTTTTCCTTTAAGGAAGAGATTCTCAGAGAGTAATTTCCAGAACAGTAGGACGAACATCCTTTGGGAAATTTTTAGAAATGCAAATTCCTGGGCCTTGCCTCAGTCCTACTGAATCCAAAGACACGGAGGTGAGAGCCAATCCCACCAGTGGTAGGCTGGTGAATGTTTAACAAGGGGCTCTTTAAAAAAAATGCACGTAAAATTTATGTACGTAAATTTTGCTGATACATTGAATGTGTAGCACATAATTTACAAATAATAAAATATTCTGTATTCCTCACTATAAATGTTATGTAGCCAATTGGCTTTCACTGTTTTTTGTCAAACTCTTGTATCAGGGACAACCTATGGTTGCAATTGATGAATGAGTGTAATTCCAACATTCCAAACACAATGTTGATATTTGTGTTTATATTAAGAAGCAGGATGAAAGTGAAACAAAATGAAGACATATGTCACAATGTCACTTGTTTTATCAGTGATGTAAGCAATTTCTTTGCTGAATCAGATAGTAGTTTTCAAATGTTGGAAGACTATTTTCTCAACTTGTTTTTTCTATTGACAATATAATAGCTACAGGCTAATATTTTGAAAGCTAATCTGTATTTTTACAATTTTTCAACAATTTCTTAAGTCTAGACCTTCAACAGAGTAATAAATCAAGCCCATTTGCTCATTTCTGTAGTGTCAATATTTCTATCATGGCCAGTTTCAAGCCACAGCATGACACCACTTAACAAGGAGTTAGAGAGAGGTGTGTTGCCCCATGTCATTATGTACTATGTCCATTGTACAGATGTGGTAAATGTAAATATCCTTCACAGATAATAGACATATGTAGTACAATAATTAGGAAATTGCTTCTAATGCAATTTGGTTTTCACATAATTTCTTAATCTACACATTTTTATAATTTACTTTTAAATGATAGCTTGTGTTTCACAACTGGCTTGCAGAGTTCCTGAATATGTAGCAATGGCTTGCATGAGCTGGTACAAATTGCTCTAGGACAACACCGGGCCTACCAATCTGTGTTTTAACAAGCCTTCCACGTGATTCTGATGATGCTAATTTTTGTGAACTACTGCTTAAGCAGATGTTGAAGACTAGAAATGCATGTAGCTATTCTTTCTTTCTTTATTTTTTTTGAGACAGAGTCTCGCTCTATCGCCACGCTGGAGTGCAGTGGCGCGATCCCGGCTCACTGCAACTTCCGTTTTCTGGTTTCAAGCAATTCTCCTGCCTCAGCCTCCCGAGTAGATGGGACTGCAGGCACGCACCACCACGCCCAGCTAATTTTTTGTACTTTAGTAGAGATAGGGTTTCACCATGTTGGCCAGGATGATCTCTATCTCTTGATTTCGTGATCTGCCCGCCTCAGCCTCCCAAAGTGCTGGGATTATGGGCATGAGCCATTGTGCCCGGCTGCATGTAACTATTCTTAATCTAGAACTACATGCTCTCTGTTTGGCCAACCAACTGCTATACTCAAATGTTTAAGCAAGTTCAGACTGGGCACAGTGGGGAAAGAAGGAAGTACATCTAAAGGAGAACAGAGGAATGAGAAAAGGTTTTAATTTTAGATCTTTAATTTTTTTCTTTTGGATTTGGCCTGCTTTGGTAAACTGTTCATAGATATTCAAATAAACCTTAGACTAAATTACAGTTCAGTTTATACTCTTGAAACAAAATGGCAGCCAATGCAGCTGCTCAAATGGCATATCTTCTGAAGTCTAAAAAACACTAGTTAATTCATTCAATAAATACTTACTAAGTACTACGATGTGCCAGGCACTATGCCGGGTATTAGTCATGCAGCATGGAACAAGGTAGATAAGGATTCTGATCTCAAGATTTTAGAAGGAAGAAATAGAAAATCCCAAGTAAGTGCCTTAGGTAAGCAAGATAATTCCTTGAGAAGGAAGTTAAATGGTGGAGGGTGTTGGGTGGGAAGGGACTGCTTTCTGGCTGGGGGATTAAAGAGGGCCTTGTTGAGGAGGTGTCAATAAGGTGGATGTGAATCCAGCCATGTAACTACCTGGGCAAAGAGCGTCCAGACAGAGGAGACACCAATTGCAAAGATATTGAGTTGGGAACAGATTTGATGTGTTGAAGGCCTGCCTGGTAAGAGGGATGATGTGGCTGGAACAATGTGAATAAAGCAAGAATGAGAGAAGATGTGTTGAAAGGCAGGTAAGCAGGGGATAGATCAAGTTTTGGGCCATGTAAACATTTTGGATTTCATTCTGACTGATGGGAATCCTTTGGAGGCTTACAGCAGGGAATGACTGGTCTAATTTCTGCTTTAAAAAGATCACTCACTGCTGTGTAGAGAATGGGCTATAGCAAGTAAGACTGGAAGCAGAAAAATGCACTGGGAAAATGTTCAGCGTCCCAAGGACCAGATAACATGGCTTGGAATGGAAGTGACCAGATTTGGGAGGTACTGTGGAGGAATAGCAGATTGTCTTGGCTGAGAGAGGGTGGCAGATTCTAAGAACTCAATAGACCATTGACCCTACCATCTTTAAGCAAAGTGGACTAGAATCCTTTATATTTATGTCTGCTTACGTCTTAGCACGCTGGTTGATCTACCTGTTTCAGAATCATGTATACAGGAAGTACTAGATAAGAGGTGGCCCATTAGTTGGATGGGTGGCTGAAGAGCTAATACTCGAGATAGTCTAAGAAGACTGAGCATAATCCTCTGACTGCAGCCCCATGAGCTTAGGTAGATAAGGGCCAAGCATGAGTAGGAATGGATATCACCCCATTGCCTCCTCATTCCTGTGTGTAGATGTGAGCAGCAATAAGTGGTGTGTGTTTGCGGCATTCTCACTCTGCTTGAATTGGGTGATGAGACCCGTGGCAGGGGTCAGGGAACATTCACCTTTCCCATGCCATCTCCCCAGGCTTGGTGTGTGCATTTGCCAGGAGTGGGCTTGGAAAATAACCTCCCAAGGACTCTGGCCTGCAGGTGGCTTAGCCTGTGGATAACTGATACTGTCTTCTGATGCATACAGAATAGGAGCTGCCACAGGGAGACTCACAGGGATTTCCAGTCCGATGCTGAGGTTGTTACTGTGGTCTATATTTTGTGAATTATTCAACATATGATTTTTATTCAGTAATTTAAAAGAAAACATAAAAACACTAACATCTCATTTATCCAGTATTCTTTGAGAATACAACATTCCATGTAAATGCATTTTTCACATATGCCTTTAAATGTCAGGGCATGAAACATTTTGAGCACTTGGGAGAGAATGCTTTCTATAGCAAGTGAGACCCTGAAGCAGAGGATCTGTATGGTTTAAACCTTCCTCGAAGCCTCCTGTTCATCACTGTGACTGTCATTTACCACTTTACGCTATAATGCAATGACACAAGGACTCCAAGTGCCGTGAATCAGACTATTGTGCAAATTCCTCATTCCCTCTTTCTCTCTGTGGAGAACTAGGCCCCCTTAGAGTGTTTTACATCTAAGTTATGACACCTAGTTCTGACACCCAGGGGCAGAGTGCAAGCAAGCCAGGGCCACCTTCCACAGCACTGTTTCTTGTTAGAAAATTGGTGCTTTTAAGAAGATGGTTCTTCCATGAGAGGCTTTGCCTAGCTGTCATCCAGTTAGTTATCCAGCCTGCATTTACTGGAAACAGAAGTCTCAGAGTTTCCAGAAGCTGTTTTCTCTGTTCTTCTGCTCATCTGAGTCATGTGCACTGAATGTGACTCCCCCACA